AGTACGTTTATATAAACTGAAGGACTAAAGAAACGTTACCACATTGAAAATGAAATTGCAGCTGCAATCACCATCACGTGAAAACACATCGCCCAAACGCAACAATGACCTTTCCACTTGGAAATAAGGCATGCCATACATTGTCCAAATACAGTTTGCATGTTTTTCGCTCAAAGAGCAAAATTTATAAGTATCTGCGCACGCTGCATCTCAGAAACCCCTTCCTGGCGGTGACGTCAACAGCGGCGCATGGCTTGGGTCACCGTGTAAGCCGATACACAGTAGCCAGACGACCGAGGTCCTGTGGAATCCGGGCTTTCAGACCTTTCCGGGGACAGCAGTTAACAGCCAAACAGCTTCGACGGAAACTTAGATGGGCATGGACGGTTCAACGTTTTCACTGACTTGAATGGCAGAGAGTACTATTCTCGGGTGACAGGCGATTCTCTCTGTTCATTTTGTTTTACAGATCTATCTTTTGTGGTTATTTCACAATAGTGATTTAATCTATGGAAGCGTTTCTTTAGCCCGTCAGTTTAACTGTAGTTTAATATATCTTTGAGACCTGGGAAATCCACTTACATATATTAAATGCAAATAGCATTGCAAAATTGAATGAAGTGTTATGTAAATTCACATTTTGTGTTACATCTTTGCAGCAATCCATATTTGTGTGTATGTACGATTGTCTTATAATCATTGCTTTCACAATAAAGAAATCTGAGCTTCATTTCGCTTTATCTTTCATTAACTAGATCTTTGTTGTTAACGGTTCATGCTCGCTCACATAGTTACCTAAAGGCAGATACCATATAATAGAGGGACGGCCCTCGAGCCAATGCGCAAAACCATCAGCGCTACGGCTTGTACTGCGCAGCCTATCTGGAAGCTGGCGAAAACGTCTGTTCACTTCAGTCATCGATTTCGCGTATTTTCATTGCAAAGGTAAGACTTAATATTTTTTTCATTTATTCTCATGTATATACTTATATTTGCAACAGTGTTTTTGAGGTGTATTAGAGTGCCTAAGCATATATTTATCTTTGTATTTGATGAATACTGTCATGTGTGCTCTATTATATGGTCTCTGCTAAAGGGCAAGTTTACACGAATATTAACCTTCTTGTCTGCATAAAAAGTGTTCTTGAAGCAGGCTCATAGCCAAAACAGTACAGTTATATCGATTCATATTTTGTACATTTACCGAGAGTTACATGTCCATAATAAACGCACCATGGCTTATCTCCCTTGCAAATGACGTTATTGGTGCCCAACTTATAAACGAATGACGTCATTAAACTCTATTTGATCCATATCACGTGGTACATGTGTGGTTATATTTCAACCAATCACGTCTTAGATCGTGATCACGTGAGAGAACGAGGCGAGCCCAGGAATCATTACGAATGGAGACCCCAAGGAGTTATACACGCAAATTAAGCTCTGATCATAATCAAAACATCAGACCAACTCTGTCATTTGTTTGCAGAATTTATGCCCTAAATTAAAAAAGTTGTTTAACAAACAATCATTAAAATATTGACACAATTCACTATTTGTTACGAGGGAGGAGTGCAGAGAAAGGGACAGCCGGGTGGTAGAGAAGCACGTGCACAAGTGCCGACAAAGTTATTGATTCATTAACCTGTGCTGTGCCGTCTCCATCCTTTCTCGCACACCTGGCTGTCCCTTAGCTTTCTCTGCACTCCTCCCTCGTAACAAATAGTCAACTGTGTCAATATTTTAATGACAGTTTGTTAAACAAGTTTTTTAATTTTAGGACATAAATTCTGCAAAAAACTCACAGAGTTGGTCTGACGTTTTGATTATGATCAGTGTTTCATTGAGTATTTTATTATGTTTTCGAATTAGATTGCAATTCATCGGTTTGCTTTGGAGCCAAACGGATAATACAGTACTGATGCCTCACCAAAGCAGACTCGTCAGACCTGACCCTGAGCCACCCACCAGCGTTAAACACCCTGAGGCTGAGCTCCCAATAGCGTAGATCGATGCTCATGCTGCTGATTACTAGAATGTCTGGTGAAGACGCGATCATCTGAGATATCAGGTCAACGATTAATAAGCATCCACACACACAAAACGATAGTAGTTCTTTCTGGTTGTCTAATGTAGCCAGTAGGGCGATAGAGCGCCTAGCCAAGAGTTACCTCCCCTGGATCTTTCGGATCAAAACAGCCACCAATGTACTCTGATTACCAGTTCCTTACCTTTGCGTTTCTAAATTGGAGGCACGGCTGCTAATGGAACAGACATGATGACTACACTGGAGCAGACTGGGGATGCTGAGGAGTTACCTGCATTTTTACATTTGTGGGTGAGTGAGTATGGTTGTACGCCGCTTTTAGCAATATTTCAGCAATATAACGGCAAGGGACACCAGAAATGGGCTTAACACATTATGCCCATGTGGAGGATCGACCCGGGCCTTCAGTGTGACGTGTGAACGCTTTAACCACTAGGCTATCCCACCGCCCCTTTCTAAATTAATGAGTTGATTCAGTCACGATTTTTTAGTTCCGCTCTCATGCTCCAATTTCCGTCATCAGCCTTTTTTGTTTGAGAACGAAAGCGATTGGCGTGATTTTAAGCGGTTGGAAGTTAACGCCCCATATGGTCTCCAGTCGTAGACCGCCTCCGTGGTGTAGTGGTTAGAGCGTCCGTCCGGAGAACGGAAGGTTGCGGGTTCGATCCCCGACCGCGTCATACCAAAAGACGTTAAAGTATGGTACTTGTTGGTCCCTGCCTGGCGCTCGGCATTAATGGGTACAACAAGGACTGGTAGGTTCGGAGGCAGTATAATGTGTCTGAGCAGGGTATTCATGCTTCACTGCGGCATGGTATCTCAGTGGGCTAGCACTATTAAACCAGCTTAAGTCTGTGCTAGTACAAGCAGCCGCATATACACATACACACGCATGCACGTCGTCATATGAGCGGAATATTCTCAAGCACGACGTTAAACCCAATTTCACATCACCTCACCTCCAGTCGTATATCCCACTCATGGACCATGCGCGTGGTCAAAGGGCAGACAACCTTTGGCAGTAATGCTAACTTCCTCGTCACTTCTATTTCCGTGTAATTTTACCATGGACGTGGACATTGAGGTCAAATATATCTACAGAGCAATAAACTTGTGGTCCACATCTTCATCAACATTCTAGATTTATCCCGTACAAAATCCGTTCATGTATAATTTAGCATTTCTGCCTATCTATGTCTGTTTCACACAATTACATCAGGGGCAGTGGGGTAGCTTAGTGGTTAAAGCGTCCGCTCGTCACGCGGAAGACCCGGGTTCGATTCCCCACATGGGTACAATGTGTGAAGCTTATTTCTGGCGTATTCTGCTGTGATATTGCTGGAATGTTGCAAAAGGCGGCATAAATCCATACTTACTCACACACTCACAATTACATTAAGATCGAAAATCCACTAATCTATTTTCCAGCAGTATTTAACATAACATTATTCAGCAATATTGGGAGCGATGGGATAGCCTAGTGGTTAATGCGTCCGCTCGTCAAAAAGAAGCTCAGGGTTCGATTCCCCACATCGGTACAATGTGTGAAGCCCATTTCTGGTGTCCCCTGTCGTGATATTGCTGGAATATTGATAAAAGCTGGGTAAAACTAAATTCACTCACTCATTCACTCTGGAATATTGATGTCAGTATCAATAGGGGCGTGTTCGGACGAGCAGATAATATGTACCTCTGCACTCACGGCAGCAGAAATGATTTAATCATTTTTGAAGCTCCTATAAAATGTCAATGTGGAATGTGCGTGGAATCGTCTTTAAAAAAATGTACCAATAAAGCTGAACATGCTTGTTGACATGGGGGTCTGTCTGCTCGCAACAAAATCAAACTTTTCAAAATTGTTAATACTGCCAGCAAAATTACTGGATTGTCTTTTGAGTATATTCCCTTTATCTATGAGCGCCGGATTGTCAAAAAGACAACTGAAATTAGAATTGATAGTTCACATATTTTATCTCACCATTTTCAACTACTTCCATCTGGACGCTGCTTTCGATTACCTTCGCTTAAAACAAACAGAGATCTGCAGTCCTCCATACCATCCAGTATTAATGTTATTAATGCAACAATGTTTTTGAATAGTCATCATGCATGCGATAACTACTAACTTGATTTTAATTTTGAGGCCGTTTTTTAAACAAAAAGAATTTCTTCGGGTATAATAAAGTTATATTTTATCTTATCTTCTTCTCACCGCGTTATGTTCTCATATACTGGACAAAAGTAGGGATATATGCAAATTATGAATAATGATCTATTTATTCATTGTCACACTGATAAAATATCAATCATAAAAATACCAATATCCCTAACTTATTTTGTCCAGTATATATGCTCATAGTGGTTAAAGCGCTCGCTCGTTACGCCGAAGACCCGGGTTCGATTCCACTTATGGGTACAATGTGTGAAGACAATTCCTGGTGCTAAAAGCGGCGTAAACCTCACGCACTGACTCTTGTTCTGATGGTGCAATGTGTGAAGCCAAATCCTGGTGCTAAAAGCGGCGTAAACCTCACGCACTGACTCTTGTTCTCATGGTACAATGTGTGAAGCCAATTCCTGGTGCTAAAAGCGGCGGAAACCTCACGCACTGACTCTTGTTCTGATGGTGCAATGTGTGAAGCCAAATCCTGGTGCTAAAAGCGGCGTAAATTTCACTCACTGACTCTTGTTCTCATGGTACAATGTGTGAAGCCAATTCCTGGTGCTAAAAGCGGCGGAAACCTCACTCACTGACTCTTGTTCTCATGGTGCAATGTGTGAAGCCAATTCCTGGTGCTATAAGCGGCGTAAACCTCACTCGCTGACTCTTGTTCTCATGGTGCCGCCAGATGGGTGGAATATATATTTCTGAGTGCGTCGTTAAACAACCAACCAATCTCATGGTGACTCTAGTTACAACATTCTCGGGTATTTTCATTATACACAAGACACGTTCCTTTAACAAACACTTTTATTTACAAAAGTATGTGGAGATGCGGAAGTTTTTGTTGCGAGAATAAAAACTTTCATTGTATCAATATAAAAACGTATAATTGCTAGTTCTGTCAGTCCTCTATTGTCAGTAGTTCTGACTCGGACTTCCAAGCACAGCCATGACTCTGTGTCAATAAGTGGATGTTTATATGGTCATCTCTGGTTCAGTGTCCATATCATTGTATTCCGTTAAAGATATATCGTCTGTGAACACTGGAAAAAAATTGAAAAAGTTCTCCTGCAGAATCTATTGGTTAGTGTTGTGAAAAGAAAAGAAACTTAGTATTAAACAGTGGTAACCGAAGACCTTTAGATCTAGAGGCAGTTTTGAGGATACATCCAGAGACGAATTCAGCAGTTTGAGGAGACTGGTAATTAATTAACTCAACAAATACATATAACAAATGCACAGACGTATTAGTTTGGTTTGTATCTTACCTTCCTCTTGGTGAGATTTCCGTGTATATTTTCGCTGTTGAGAAACAAAACGCAAGTTAAAATACTTTTTATTTTACAAATCAAATCCGCCTCTCTCTATTCTATTCGTCACTTTCATTTATAGTACAGTACACTACGCTTATAACAAACTGGCGGATATAACGAACTGTTTGAGTTTTTAGTGATTGTTTTGGGGTTTTTTTACTTTTTTTCTGCACTGTATGTTTTAGTCGAAACGCGCAAGGCACTACGGTTATAACGAACCATCGTTATTGGTCCTTTTGAATTCGCTACAACCGTTGTTTGCATAATGCTGATTCCGGCTTCGAATGATAGATGTCTAAATGGATCAGGATAGGTGACGTCATGGGTCATTGTCCACAACACCGGGATTGTCTGTTCAAGAAACGATTGACTACATAAACCCGTCATTACAGAAGTAATTGAGCAAGTCAAAAAAGTGCATCGATATTTAGTAACATCTTACCAACAGTTCCAGTAGGAGACCAAACATAATGGCCAGGATAGTGGCGACAAACATGACGAACATTACAACACCAAAGGCTAGTTCCCCGTAGTCTCTCTGAAACTGAAGCGAAAACTGTTGTTAATTTTATGTATCTTCTAGCTGAGGATTTCTAATTACAATGTACTGTTCAAAATTGGGTTGACTGAAAGGTCACATTGGTTCTTGTTAGTAGACGGGATAGTTTCAGTAAGTATTGCACAGCTTAGTCTCCGAACGGACCTCCGTACGCTTGCTCTAGGGCTGGGACGAGTAACCCGGATATCCGGGACGGATACCCCCCACGATGGGTGATGAGTTGGACCCGGGTACCCGTCTCAATACCCGGACCCGCTATGATCATGTACTAACACATTAAACAATGTTATATGTTATTCTGTCATGATTAAAAGGTTGTATTGTCTTTGAAGATTTAGACATAATTGTTCGGTCGGTCACCTGTTTTGAAAATAATACATGGTTAAGATATTGAAAAACTCGAAATTGTAGCCTCTGAGCTGAAGAATATATTGCCATTTCTTACAAAGTTGATGTCAGGAATTAACATAACGGGTATCCGGGTAGGGTAGGGTAACAGGGGGTGGGGTACCCGGGTAGAAAATGTGGGCTCGTCCCAGCCCTAGATTGTGCGTATGTAAGCAGAGCTTGGGAAGACAGTGATATCTTTACAGCAACCCCTGAAGTAGGGACCAAAATACTGCAGTAAACAGAGGACTATGCTGTCACAATAGCCAAGAAACAAACTAGCCAAACAGCTTCCCCTATTGAAAGTAAACTATTGTATTAGGTAGTTTATGAGCTGTGTGGTTTCTTGCACCGAACATAAATAAAGTTAAAATACAGATCTTTACCATATTGTTTGAACTCTGGAGGACAGGGCCCCGCTCCACAAAGGGATCTTAACGCAAACGTAATCGTAACTTCCATACATTAACGTTGGCCTACGGCAGTCATTACGCCCGGTTAGGTCTACTAATGCCTACAGTGAATAATGCCTACAGGGAATAATAGCTACAACGTTTGCAGTGACAGCGATACGCTTACCTGCACACAAGTAGATTGTTCCACTTAGTGTGCACTATTGCCTACAAAGGGATTAGGGGAGGCCAGCAAGGAGAGTAAAGAGTAAGATCAAGAGTATTAAATCGTTAGCTAGCTTATGTTTTGATAATTCCATACGCATTTAGTTCTCACACGAGAAGGAAATTGAAGAGTAAAGTAATTAATAGAGAGATTATTAAAGGGAGAAGGAAATGTATTGCTTTAAAATTGAAGAATAGAGTAATTAATTGAGAGATTATTAAAGGGAGAAGGAAATGTATTGCTTTAAAATGCTTGTGATACAAATCTTCATTGCAAATCATGGCAAATCCCAAGAAAGTCGAATACTTCACATCACAGAAAGGAGGACAGCAGGTACTCTTGGAGGGATACCGCTACAGACTCAACAACAGGCGAGAGACGTGTGTACACTGGAAGTGTGTTCAAGGTGGCTGCTTTGGCAAGTGTACGACAGTCGGACAGTTTGTTCGGAATCAGACCCCACACAACCACCCACAAGAAGACCAGGTAGCCCTGAAGATTGCCAGTTCCCTGAGGCAGCGGGTACGGACTGAGACGACGCCAGTTCAGGTGATCTACGATGAGGAGATTTCCCGACTTGACCGAGGTGAAGCAGCAACAGTCAAGTCGTTCCATTCTATGAAGAGTGGACTCTACAAGCAGAGACGGAAGATGATGCCGCCACTTCCCCAGACGCTCAGCGAGGTGAATCTACCCGACTTCTTCAAGGAGACTACAGATGGACTGCCCTTCCTCTGCATTGATGACGGTGATGATGACAAGATTCTCTGCTTCGCCACAAGTGACCGCCTGACCCTCCTGCAAGAAGTGGACACCCTCTACATGGACGGCACCTTCTACTCCTGTCCTCCTCTCTGGGATCAGCTGTACGTCATCCATGGCCTAGTCGGAGGGAAGATGACCCAGTTGGCCTTCTGTCTACTGCCGAATCGTCAACGCCGCACCTATGAACGCCTGCTACGTCTCCTGAACGACAAGATCCAGCAGACAACGGGATCGCCCTTCAGCCTGATGTCATCCAGACGGATTTCGAAATCGCTGCCATCAACGCTGTTGAGACCGTCTTCCCCAACTGCGACGTCCGTGGATGCTATTTCCACTACAGCCAGGCTCTCTGGAGGAAAGTACAGAACCTCGGCTTCAGCGAAGCCTACCAGCAGGATCCTGAGGTCCACAGATGGGTCCGACGAGCAGCAGCACTCCCCCTCCTCCCAGTGGCCATGGTACAAAATGCCTGGATAGAGGTCATGGACGACGCCCCTGCCATTGGACAGAAGGATGAGTTCCAGGACTACATCACCAGCACCTGGGTAGACGACCATGCTGGAGAAAGCGGAGAGAAATAAGCTGGTGCAGATGGCTCATGGCGCCCGTCCCCCACCCCGCAAGAGGACGTACACAGAAATTGACCAGAGACTCACTCGTCTGAAGGCCCAGCTGACATCTGGTATCAAGACACCCCTGGAATTCCTGACTGCTGCAGGATATTTGATCAAGCTAGCTTGAAAACCAAATGACTATGTTGATGAATGTGTGAAACTGTGTGTATACATGTAAATTACTTTTGGTTACCACAATGACTTTATTAATGAATGTGGTAGTTGACTGTGTGAAAGATGTATATATGTATATATAAAGTTTAAGAAAATTAAGAAAAATATGACAACAATGTGAAAGATATGTATGTGAATGTACATATGTATATGAATGACCAAATAGAATATCTCTCAACATAGAAAGTTACTGTTTTCTATATACTGTAGGCATTAGTGCACTTTGAAATAGGACCATGCCACTTTATTGAAAGGTTGAAGGCAGGTGCAATCAGCAGCACTGGTGCGTAAAGTTGTTTATTTAACACTGTAGGCATTATTCACTGTAGGCATTAGTAGACTCCACCTTACGCCCGGATCACTTCGTGGAACGGGCCCCAGGTCACCCAGTCGTCCAAAGTGCCGCGTTTCGAGACTCAGATTTGCGTCTCTAAGACGTTTCAGAAATCTACGCCCGTGGGTTTGGATCCCATATGCGATCTGAATGTTTTTCTAGGTACATCAGGTCTATACAGCCAATGTCTAAGACCCGCATCGACTCAACCTTTCCTCTCGTATCAAGCTCAAGCATCGTCTACAAATACTCTCCATCTCGCTCACATAATCTACCTTGCGTTCTTCCAGCTCCAGGTACATCCATATCTTGTAGCGGGTGATCCAGATGGCCTGTACAACAATAACTTTAATATCAGTATCAACAATACACGGTCTTTGGTTTACTACTTAAATGACGAGCTCCAGGCAAGGTAATAACAAATAACATTATTTGGAGTGACAGGATCTGGGATGAAACCACCAACCGTCCGCTCTCGGGCCGGATAATCTATCAACTACACCATGGAGGAAAGAGGTGAAGATCCCCAGTTGTACATCGTTCCTCCCGTGTCTTGCGTAGATCGATGCTCATCATGTTGATCACTGGATTGTCTGGTCCATACTCGATTATTTACAGACAACCACCATATAGCTGGAATATTGCTGAGTGTGGCGTAAAACTAAACTCACTCGCTCACTTGTTGCTCGGTCTATGGTGAGAACAGATGCAGGACCGAAAGTCCGTTTGGCTCAAAAGCGGACCGATGAATTGCAATCTAACTCGAAAACTAATACACATAACATACTCAGTGAAACACTGATCATAATCAAAACATCATACCCACTCTGTGAGGTTTTTGCAGAATTTTTGTCCTAAAAATAAAAAGGTTGTTTAACAAACTATCATTAAAATATTGACACAGTTGACTATTTGTTACGAGGGAGGAGTGCAGAGAAACAAATCACACAGTTGGTCTGATGTTTTGATTATGATCAGCGTTTCATTGAGTATTACATGTTTATTAGTTTTCGAGTTAGATTGCAATTCATCGGTCCGCTTTTGAGCCAAACGCACTATAGATGTTTCAAGCTCTCTTAGCCCGAAGACAGTCGTAAGTTAATGTTGAGGTAACCCAGACCTTCACGGGTTGGCCTTCAGTAACCCATGCTTGTCGTAAGAGGCGACTAACGGGATCGGGAGGTCAGGCTCGCTGTCTTGGTTGACACATGTCATCGGTTCCCAATTGCGAAGATCGATGCTCATGCTGTTGATCACTGCATTGTCTGGTCCACACTCGATTATTTACGGACCGCCGCCATATAGCTGTAATATTGCTGAGTGCGTCGTAAAACTAAACTCACTCACTCACTCTTGGTTTACAAATGCGTATCTGATACAGGTATGCTCAGTCATGCATTTTCTAACCATCATCGCATGAGTACAAAACGTACAAAACCACCAACGTACAAAACCACCAACGTACAAAACCACCACGTGTTGTATTTTACATGCCTCAGCTTGAGCTCCAAATCAAAGTACTATCCTCGGCTGATATATATGATGACACTAGGTATAGCATGTGGCATTTCCAATTTGACATTGTTTCAGATCTTTCCTTGCATTTTGCTCTACTTACTGGCTGTGGCAGCTTTTTCTGTGCGCAATAGCTTCAGAACTTCCTCTTACAGCATTTTTTTAACTTGAAAGTTTAACTTGGAAAATATACTTCGTTTCAAGCGTTTGGACTTCTAGTGTAAATATAGGCACTTACTTCAGGCAACTGTTCTCAACTATAACTTGCAAAATATTCCATAGTGTTTGAAATTACTGTTTACACATGAACTGATGTATTGTAAAAACAAATTCGTAACGTTGAAAAGATTATTGTCATGAGTTCAATAAATGATACAAATCAGTGAAAATTGGCGAATTCTTGGCAAAACTTTACACCAGAACGCGGCTGTTCACATGCAAGATATTTGCATATGCCTTTCAACAATTTGTTATACATAACAATAGTGATTATTTAAGGGAGCCCTTACTTTTGAAAAGAAATATATAAATCGAAACACAGAGACAAAAGAAAAGAAGACAACAACGAATGGTCAAGCTAACAGGTCTGTCCAAAACAAGGATGCCTCTAAAATACTCGCATGTCTAGTTTCGTACATCACACAATTCTAGACCATAATGCAAGGTTTTAATGGCTCTGTATGGATAGTACAGTACGAAATATACTAACATTTTACAGGTTCGCCCTGTGGGCCTTTACCGAACAAGTAACACTGGCCCCGAAATCACAATGTAAAGAAACACTAAACACGATAAGTGTACCTCTCTATTCGACAGTGGTCTTGCAGACATACCTTCATACCTCCATATCGCAGAACAAAGCCCTACTTGCACATACGATGTATACACTACCTTCAGTTTAGCCGACCCGTGAAGATCCGGGTTAGAATGACTCTTCAGTAACCCATGCTTGTCGTAAGAGGCGACTAACGGGATCGGATGGTCAGGCTCGCTGGCTTAGTTGACACATGTCATCGGTTCCCAATTGCACAGATCGATGCTCATGCTGTTGATCACTGGATTGTCTGGTCCAGACTCGATTATTTACAGACCGCCGCCAAATAGCTGGAATATTGCTGAGTGCGGTGTAAAACTAAACTCATTCACTCACTCATCAAGTTTAGCAAAGTGAAGGAAGCATGGCTTGTCAGGTGGGACAAGAAACTGAACTACTAGAATCGTTAACGTTGAAACGTGTCCTGCTCTCAAAACACGATCTATATTTCATAAATGAACACCCACATTGCCCCACCTAATTCATACTGAACTTATTAGTTAAAACAGAGACAACTCCCAAAATAAGGCTGCTTACTTTTCCATCAGAACATGCCAGTTTGGGCATGCCGATACACGTTTGACGTCAAAGGCAGTTAATCACACGACTTTGATGAGAGTACGTTCCTTCTGTATACGTCAGCTTGAAATGTTTTCCTACTTACCATATCAGAAAGGTGTGTGGTGCTTGATTAATGCTCACGCGTACAATAAGTACATTCACCTTGTAATTATTACCCATACGGGTGAGGAGATCCCGTGTAATATCTTTTTGATATTTGCACAGTGTGCAATTTAGTGATTCTCGACGTTGATTTGTTGATAGTATATTTGTACATTTTCATTGGATGCCGGAACTACTACTACGGATTTGTCCACTCCCAAGATGATGTCTTAGGACGTCAAGGTGGCGTTCCAAGTTCCTGTATTTTTCTTTTTCTTCCATGGATGTTTCTGTCCACCGCATAACTGCAACAGGCGGACTACAGCGTGAGTCTGCTCCTTAGCCAGAAATTTAATTATTTAAAAAATCTTGGGATGGGCCTTTCCCACCGATCTCTTCAGACGAGAGTGCTACCTTCCTGATGGTTGTTGGTACGGAGACCGTCGGGATCGTGGTGGTTCAAATGGGATCTATGGACGTCACAATGTCATTAACAGTTAACGCAGTGGACTTACAGTTCTTTTCTGTGCACTTCCGATCTCGCTCCCTCATAGTCATTCAGTACATGAATCCACCAACACAGTCATCTTCCACCACGAGATGTAGGAAGAAATCGCCGATTTAACTGTGCATTTGCCATTTCGAAACTGAATGCAATGTACCGCGAGTTGTTTCCTTACATATAGCTAAACTGAATGAAATATGCTGATCATTGTAAACTTCACTCCCATATGATGTCATTGATGACATTTTGAGTGAACTATGTTCACGCCTTACGCTATGGAGACCTTATGGAAAATCTTAAAATAACACCAACTAGCGGATTATTGTGACCCCAGCAACACCTTCAACATCAAAGTGTACCGCGGGTCGACTTCGTGTCAATAGCGAAATTTCAAAAGGTCGACTTCTTGTCCATAAACCGTCGCAACACCTGAGTGAAGCTCGTACAATATTAACACTCTGCCACAGAGTGGGTCCTTGTTCGGTTTCAAGTATTTAAAGGTTATACATTGGAAACGGGTAACGGTGGGGTAGCCGAGTGGTTAAAGCGTTCGGTCGTCACGCCGAAGACCTGGGTTCGATTCCCCACATGGGTACAAACGGTGAAGCCATTTCTGGTGTCCTTCGCCATGATATTGCTGCAGCATTGCTAAAAGCGGCGTGTAAACTCCACTCACTCACCTTAAAACGGGGATTTTGTCCAGATATGGTCAGGGACTGGCAGTCGACCACAGCAATTATTGCCTTCAAAATTCACCAATTCAATTTCATATTTTAATATTTATGGCTTGTTTTCTTTTGTCAGTGTGACGTGGATTTCTGTAAGCAACAGAACTAAAACTCAAGAGTTCAGATCTCAATCCCGTAGAACATTATGGGTCGCCAGAGAGAGATCTGTCAGTACACAATCTTGATTTGTTCGTACAAGCCACTCATCAAGGATTTATCGCAATACCTCATTGGCAAATTATACATCTGATACTATCAGGGCGGTGCAGCGTCAGGGATGGTACTGAACTTGAAAAATATGAAGTGTTGCGATACCTTCTCCATGTGTATATACCATCTTGTCATTCTAACAATTATTCCCATAGTGAAAGAAGGATATATTCCGAAAGCATTTGCACTTCAGTTTGAAGTTGACACCCATAAATTCTCTTCCTTACTGTTGTGACCGTTGTGAAGGAAATCTGGGCAGGACTTGAACTTTCACATCAGTGTCATACATCAACAGTCACAAACACTGTTCAAAACCTTACTTTTGCTCTGTAAATAGAGAATACTAAACGAGGTCTCATTACATACGAATTATACGAAACGAGTGTCCTTCCTATGGTATCTGACCGAGCGAAAGCGAGGTCAGATATCATAGGAAGGTCACGAGTTTCGTATAATTCGTATGTAATGAGACCGAGTGTGGTATTTTATTTATTACCCACGTCTAACATGCATTAAATTGACAAAATAGCGTATTTTTGTTAATATTTTGGTTTCAAACCGAAACCGGTTTCATAAAGAGGTTGCGGACGAGTTTTGTACTGTATTCTAAGATGCCTAGCGGTTAGAACAATCAAAAAAAAAATACATTATCAGACAATAAAGGTATAGGTTTTTGATGACGTAACAATTGAATGACGTTTTCCCGTCACTGCGCCATTCTAGTGTGCCCCTCGTAATCGAACCATTTTACATTACGTCACAATGTAAGCGACGTCACGATGCATGTCAGTTGTCATCGCCTCGTACGGCCTCCTACAGTAAACTACACCGTTGCATCCAGTTTCTTGGTTTGCTGTTGCTTCACGCAGCTAACATCACTGGTGGAAACATTACGTT